TAGATTATTATATAAGAGGTTAGATGTCTTTGTATAACTAATGAGACAAATTAATTAAATTGAGTTTTTATGAAAAAGTAATATAATGTAATACTCTGTAAGCACGAATATGAATCCCATTGAATCCTCAAAGCTACGAATGGAAGCACAGATACAACACTTTAAGCATGGTAAAAAAGAATATAAGACAAAAATATAGTAATTTAGCAGGAATATGATAAGGCAGTATTTAAAATACGAGAAGCGTTGCAAGAAATTCGTGAATGAAACGTTTATACATAATAGGATTTGTAGGTTGTTTTTCTGTCATATAATATATAATTACACATATTCATTTCTGTCGTTCCTGCCTTAACCAAGGACAATAACAGCATATAGATAGATATAAAAAACAACGAACACAAGATTTTATTCTACCTTGAAATATGTACTAGTTTTATGCGGTTTATTTTTCTATCTCTATGATGTGACATGACAACGTTAAAAAAGGATAAATATAAATAAAAAATCGATTTTTTCCAAAACGATATAGATAAAATATCAGCATTGCCGTACATTCAGTCAAACTCAAGCAAATATCACCTATGGGAAAAATCTAGATGCATTTCGTCTATAATCGAGCGATACACGACTAGTTGCCATCCAGATTACTAGTTGAAAAAGGGACTTTTAACTAGATGCGTCTGCAGGTGCATCTAGTAATAATTAAATCGATCGATTATCGGGTGATAAATCGATAGTTGCAACTAGAAAAAATCTAGTAATCGCCCAATTACTAGATTTTCATTGTCGTTACACAGTAGTTGCAATCGAGTAGAAATCTAGTAATCTAGATGAATCGGGCGATACTAGATTTTTTTTTGACGCTTGGGAAGAGTTGAGTGCAATTGACACAGCATAATTTATTAGACTATTTATAATCTTTTTAGTGTTATCAATCTGATCTTATATGATAATTGTAAAAGTTTAGTATAAATATCTTCTAGAGTTGAATAATAGACTAGATATTTTAGAACTTCACTTTCATGCTGTCGACATTTCGTATGAGAATTTTTGTGATAAGTTTATCGCATTTTTTCCAATCAGATTACAAACGGCCAACTAAACGTCACGCTTCATAGAAACATGACTTTGAGCTTTCATCGTGAGATTTTCGTCATCCCAATATCTACTAAGTTTTGGACTTCTTCCATATCCATTTTTCAAATTTTTTTTCGTTCTAATTTAATATATTTAACAATTATTATTACCATTTCTTTTTTATTACTAGTCATGCTTAAATACACACTTATAAAGTTGCCACAGTATCGTCTATACAAGAAGAGTGTCAAATTGCTCTCAAAAAATGTCGATCTTCAGAGAAAACATTTTCTAAACGTTTCTGAAGAAAAAACATGTTTCGAAGAAAGAAACAGTTATATTTAATCTTATTCATCATGCGAAGGAACAGCTCTAATGTCGAAAAGACTAACTTCTGCCTCGACAGAAAAGTACATATTTTTTATATGATTATTGATGATTAATAACCGACGTAGAAAAAAAATCTTCATCACTTTTTTTCGTATTCTACCATTTTGAATATTGACGAAAAGATTCATTCCCACCTGTTCTATTCTTCGACGAAAATACAATAAATGCATGGAAAAAGCAAAACATTAAATTGCCTGTATACATTGTTCTAACTCTTTTTGTCATTTTATATAGTATGTGGTTTGTTTCCGAACGGACGCTAAACAGATGTATAGAAAATAAGATATAAATCAATGTCATCACAGAGCCCCCCCGTCCCAAAGAAAAGTTATGTATGTATTTTCTCTTGTTTTAAGATTACATTTCTATGGTTTTTCATGTTAGCAAGAAATCTATTTATATTAACTTAGAATACTTGAACAATAGTTTTTGATTAGGGAAAACCTCTTCATATTCCTCTCTGGCTCTTTGAGTTATCTTTTGATTGCATATTTACCACTAGTTTGAAACTACACAACCTTAAGTTACTCACAATTTAGAAGTCAATGATTGCTTGTCACTCCGATGTAGAGTCTTGCGGATTTGAGGTTTTCGAACTCGTCCCGAACCCGTTCAGATGAACTGAAACCCATCCTGAACCCGAACCCGCCAGAACTTTTTCGGGATTTCGAACCCGATTTTTTCAAATAAAATCCGTCCCGAACGCGAAATATTTTTTTTAGTGAAGTAGTGTTCTCTTTCATTTTAACATTAGTAAATTTCTACTCGTAGAGATACAAGAATAAAATTCACTTGGTCAGTTGTATGTCTAGTGCGAAACATCCGTCCGTTTTCCTTATTTTCCATTCTTTTTTATTTATTTAGAATTGTCTCTTATCTCCCCTATATCAAACTAGAAGAATTGGAATCGGAAACAAACCTGATCCCGAACCCGTTTAGAAGAACTGAACTCATCACGAATGCGAACCCGCGAGTTCGGAATCAGGATTGGGTTAAACCCGCAAAACTCTATTCCGATGACATCTGCTAGAACTGTTCCTTTTAAAGTCCCCCCCCTTTTCCTACTAGAGAAAAGTCCCTGACATTTTTCAAAAATGTCATTTCAATTATTAATAGTGTATTACTTATCGTAAATCACATGATTTACGCAGAGGCTGAGTATGTACATTTTCATTGGCTACTTTTTAGAGCAAATCAAATTTTTTCTCTTCCCAGTCAGACCATAATGAATATAGATATATATAAGCGTATATGTAAATATATCCCTACCTTTTCCTTTATTTTTTTTCTATTTTGCGTGTTTCATGATGACACTAAAAATTATGTCAAGAGTTCGTTCACCTAAAAGTCATCCACTTTTCCGACCCGTTTTATTAGTTGGAAAAGTGACTGAACTCTTAGATTAATAACGTACGTGTCAATCGTTTTATAGACCATTTCCCATCTAGTCTTGCACGTTGTATTTTCACTAAATATCAAATAATTTCATCATACAATACTCAGACTTGAAATAATTCATGTTTATTTCGTGACGAGAAGCCTCGAAAACAACAAAGACTTATTTTGTTTGTGTTTATCTTTGCTTCAAAGACAATGAAAATTTTCATGCACAAAGAAACACTCAAAAAACGATAAAAGATCGCGAACGATCGTTTCCATAGAAACAATTTTGTAACGACACATACAGGCGAGATGATAATATTTTGTAGTACTTCAATGTCCAGTCCTAAAAGTATAGAAAATCCTGAGAAAGTTTTAGATATTAGTCACTTTGAGATAAGAAAATGTTTGAGACAAATTGTTTTTTAATTTGTCACTATTAGCAGCGAGTGGAATTACACTCAAATAATTTGAACTAACTATATTTTATGCTTACTCATTTATCAAGGTCTTAGTGTACTTGATTTGAAGAAATTTGCAGTTTTTATTTTCTGAAGTGTAAGAAAAATAATCTTTATCTTTTATTTTTCTGTATAACTGAGTACATTTCAAAATGACAGAGTATATAGTTGTTTTAGTTTTATCTAGCAAAATACAACAAATATTAAATGAGTATTTTTACCGAAAGAAACATTAATACACATCAGATTATAAGTGGAACTATGTTCTCTTTCTATTTATAACCTTGGAAAAAGACAGGTTGCCTTATTTTCCATCCATCTGTTGTTCAACAGAAACAAATCGATAGCTATTTAAGCTATTTGTTTTTATCGGACTAACAAAAAATAAAAATAAAAAATGTATTTTCGATGTTGCTAAAGTAGAAATGCTTGCTTGTTTTTTTTCGTTAATGTTTTAAAGCCATTGCTTATCAGACATGAGAAAATTTTGCCTTAGTGTCAGTCACTGTCTGACTTATTTTAATGGATCACCATATTATGCCCGTCATTTTTTCACATAATTATCAATCACAAAAATGACTGTTAAGATTTACAGGGAATGATGTTGCTGTGGGATCTTATTTTCTAAAATAAGTAGAGTAAACATTTTTTCCTCCCCCTTTTATATATATATATATAATACTTTTTTTGATAACCGCGAAAGTCTCCATTCTTTTTGAGTTAACGAAGATCACAAGATAAATCTAATCTTTACAATATGAACTACATAGATATTTAATTATCTATTTATGCCTAACGGTTTCTTGTAAATCAATTGACTGATTCTTTTTTCCTAGACTAAGAGGGAAAGGCTTAAATATGTTTCTTTTCTAGTCTAAGCGTTAAACCTAAAATATAATGTAGACCAGTTTGCGTGTCAAATTACATATATTATGAAACATAAAAAAAAGAATGATTTTTGAAAACAAATGTGTATGTGTGTGTGCCTTCTTTTTTTAATGCCCTCTATTCTTTACTCTTATTTTTTTGAATTGTGCAATACTATATTCAGTGACAAATCTGACGCTTATTGTTCTTTTTCTCACTGACATCGATGAAGTATATAAATATGTCTTACATTGTCACAAAAAATTCCCTTTCGGTATTATTTTTAAAGAGAACTTTTCCTAAAAACATTTTTACTTATGATACTGCTTATTTATAAACGGTAAACGAGATTATGTAAATTAGAAGTCATAATGTAGAAAACTGTTTTAAAGAGCCTATTTGGGCAAATATAACTAACTCATCCTCTTCCATACATTGTTTTATGAGTTTTTCTTTTTCGAAGGATGAGAGGATCGAATCGTCTATAGAAATAGACAAAACCTGAGATACTTATATCGTTATGACTAATATAACTGACATAGCTTCTTCTGCTTGACCACACCTTTCTGATTTCTCATCCTTTTTTTATTATTATTAAATCTTTATTTTTTTTTTAATTCTGTTTTTTTCGTGTTTTAGATAAAAAAATAATAGCAATAAATCGTTCTTTCAAGCGATATCAAATATAATCGATTTCATCAAATTAATTCAATTTTTTGTTATTATAAGATATTTAGTCGATATTTATCTATATCCAATTTTCAAAAAGCTGCCGCGATTTTTAACCGGCTGCTACTTCTTGTAATCGAAAAGGAGAAAAATATGCATAATATCAACAACCGAAACAATAATAATCGTCGTAATCCTCGTCAAACAATAACGAATAATAATATAAATAACAACAATTCATCAAGTATTATTCAAAGTACACCCACGTTACCATCAACTCTACCATTATTATCATCAAATAAAACTCAATTAACTACTGAACAAATTGATAAATTGAAAAAAGTATTAGATCGTCCAATATCCGTTTATCCTACACAATCATCTCAAACGCCTTATTCAACATTATCTATTATACCAAAAGAATTTATTCGTCGAATTCAAACAAAATTTTTTGTCCAATAATATTGAAATCGATAGTATACGTTTAAATGGTGGTGCAGCATCGTATGTATTAACAACTGATGATGATTTTGTCTATCGTGATTTAGATATATTATTTTTTGTTAAATCACCATTAAATAGTGAACAAAAAACAAATCTATTTTCAAAATCTGAATCGCATACATGTGATGTATGGACAATAATCAAATATATTGTCTGTGAATGTTTACTATCGTATTTTATAAATAATAAACAAGACGATTATTCACATCATTATATATCATCGTTAATTGATGCATATTCAAATAAAAATATAAAAATAACGCATGACAACGATTCTTGGGCATTATTATCATTGCAAAATCCATCGGGACAAAATTTAGAATTAAAATTTGTTGAAAAATTAAAACGTCAATGGCAATTTTCAGTTGATTCATTTCAAATTGTACTTGATCCACTATTAACTTTTTCACCAACAACATTAACAAAACAAGAATTTATTTTACCTAACACAAAATCGATATGTCCATCAATATCATCGATAACAAAAACAATAACAACAAAAAATTTAACGGTACAAGCAATTAATGGATTAAATATAATTAAACGACAACAGCAAGATTTAAATGATAATAGTGAAATGAATGTGAACAGTGATGATGGACAAGATTTAACATTTGGATTTTTTACACCACTTTCAAGATCACCCATTCTATCAACATTACATGATGATGAAAATGAACAAGAAGAAACGGGAAAATGTCAGACATATTCATCAACATTAGCGACAATAACAACAATATCAAATGTTTCCGATGCCTATGGTAAGTATCTGTTGTTTTATACATGTTGCTCTTTAGAAGTGTGATAAATCTATTTTTTGTTAAGGTTATGTGAAGTCTAAAAGTTCACTAGGATGTAAATTGTGAGACTAAAACTTGTAGTTAGTGACGAAGCCTTGTCCGATGTCTAATGTATATATATATATATATATACAAGACAGCTATTTGTCCACTATTCTCCTAGAATCACATGGGGGAATTAAAATGAAAGCTGATAACATAAACAATACTGGCTATATGAAAACTTCACAGTGTATTTTCACAAATATGTGTAGAAAGTTTAAGTAAAAGAGGGGATATAGGGACGTTTAGTCTAAATTGTGAATTTAATGTAAACATTTTTTATTCAAATATATGGTTCTGGTTTTACCTTAAAATAGAGAATATCTGTCTCTTTTCATTATACGCTCATTAAAGATATTTTTCTATACATAATGGCTAACTTTACATATCTAATTTCTTTCGTTTCTTTTATCTAGTGAATTGTCTTGAGTCGAAAGAAGACAACGACGAAAATGTTTTAAATGATAATGCAAAAAAATTTGATAATGGTGATAATTTATTACAGTTTCATATATCGGTGCATGAAAATGACAGTAGTGACGATGGAATTGTGATGGATGAAGAAGATGAAGACGACGATGATAATCATACAATTTTTTTAACACCCGCTTCTCCACCAACTACTCCTGTTCCAATTACGAAAGCAGCAACATCAAATGATCTAATTATTGATGTTTACAGTGTTTATAACGACATTAATGCAGCTATTAATCATCTGAATAACAAATTGATCTCAACCTATGAACCTGAGCAAATGCGTGGTGGTGGATTATTAAAATATTGTAATTTATTAGCACGTGGTTTTGTACCGGCTGATCGTTTAACGTTATCAAAAATGGAAAAATATATGTGCTCACGATTTTTTATTGATTATAAATCTTTAGATGAACAAGTATATATTTTACGTGGTTATATCGAGTCACATTTCGGTTCAACAAATTATTTGAATTATAATATGTGTTATTTTTTTGGATTATTTAGCACGAACAATAAGTGCATCGACTGTGTGTCTATTTAAAGATGATAAAGGGGCAATTTTACAGTATATTTATCATTTGAGACGACAGTATTTTGATGAATGTAGACGTTTATCGTTACCGTTTGATAATCGTGCAACAATGAAATTACAACAACATCATATTTATTATTCATCATCGTCTAGTGCCAGTTCTACATCTTCCGGTTCGCGTTCATCATCACCACAACGAAATCGTTCGTACAATAGTCATTATTATTATCAACATCATCGAAATCAAAATCAATATGTTTATGCTAGTTACAACAGCAACAATATCAATAATAATAATAATACATTTCATAAACGAAATCAAATGTCAAATATAAATGTGAGACAGCAACATAACAAATTTCCACAACAAAATTTGGAAAGAAAATATCATTCCTGAAAGAAAAAGAAAGATGATACAATTTTTTTGCCCGAAATCTGACAGATGAATTTTTTCTTCTTCGTTGTCTTGTATGAATTTTTTCTCCCTACTGTTAACTATTTTGTTTGTTTATTTATTTATGTATTTGTTCTCGACGATTCAACCTTGTGTATACGAACTTTCGTTTTCTCGTTCTTGTACCACTATTTCTCTCGTTTATTTGTTCTTGTCATTAGTTCTCTTTTGAACAATTTTAAACACACGCATATCCAAACAGAACAAAAAAAAAACAAAAAAAAACAATGAAATGAATAAAAAAATATATATCTTTGATGTTTGTATAAGAAACAAACAAAAAAAAAATTTTTTGAAAACATCTGAAACTAAAAAAATATTCTATTTTTCTCGTGTGTGTTGATTGCTCTTTGTTTCTTTTTCTTTTGTTTATTAACCATTTTCCTTTCGCCTTTGAATAGGTTAGCGTCGTTTACTGTTTTCTTTTTCACAACAAAAAAAAAAAAAAATCGATACATCGTTTTCAATACATGCACATTTAGGGCAAGTGAAATTATTTACTTTGGCCCATAATATATTTTGAAAATGTGTTTTTTTTTGTGTTTGAAAATGCTTCTTTCTCTATATATGTATGTTATGGTGTTTTTTTGCCTTTCTATTCCTAAATTTAATCAAGAAACATAATGTCTGCTTTTAAAAAGCAAAATTAGACTGCAACTTTATTTCATTTTCTTATAAATAGTTTTTTTTATGCATACGTATCTATTATGGATTTGACAGTTTTTCAAAGATTAAGAGAACTGTTGCCGTAACATAAGGGATGGATGATGATGAGAAAGTCTAATCGTTACTGACAGTTTTAAGTTTTTTTTGTTTTTGATGTATTTTGTTGTTACATTACACATATATTTCTTATTGTAAACGACATTCCCTCGTCAAGACGTATTGCGACTTTTTTCTTCTTCTGTGTGTGAGTGTATGTATTCCTTTTTTTTTGGCTTGATAAAAACGACTGAATGTTATAGGCATATATTTTTCTAAACTCATTTTTATTTTTTTTCTTGCGGCTTTTTGTTGAACATGAAATTGAACATGGTGATTGTACTACGAGCCTTTCACGAACTCATGTGATTATGTCGTCGATTTTTCTTCTTTTTTTTTTTGCCCAGCACTACGAATGTTTAGTGAAGAGAAGAGTGGTGGAAAATATTAATTCAATTTTAATTTTCTTCAGTAGAACGGCATTGCTCATTTTTTTTCTCTCTGCTGCCATTGCTGTTCATATATATCTTCAAATAGTATTGCATACACAAGTTTTCTTTTTCTCTCTTTCTCCTTCCTGGTGATTTTGATTTTTTGCACAGAAACTAGAGAAAATACGAAACAAAAGACGATTATCTTTTATTTTTTTATTTTTTTCTTCTCCCATAACCTTTATTATGACTTGAAATTGATTGTTATATCCATTGTTGTTGTTGTTGTTGTTGTTTATTACTTGTCTTATCACAACGCGTTTTTTTTTTGGTTATTTGTATGAAGAGAATAAGTGTTTTTAGACGAGAAATAAAATAAGAATAAATTAAAGAAATCAGATAAGTTGTCTGATTACGAATGAAAACTAATAGCTACAGTTGTCTCGAGCGCACTTTTCTATTATGAGCTCCTCCCCTCACCAGTAATCTATTTTCGTCACAAAACACGGAATCCTGACCGAGTTTTTATGCAATATTAGTCTTACCTAGATTAGAAAAATACTTGTGGCTAAGACTTAATAGAGTAGAATTTTTGCCATTTTGTTTTCGTTATTTTTTCGGGGCAGTTCTTTTTCGTCCTTGGTCTTTCGAACACTCGACCAAGTGACGGGATGCTGGAAATCGGGTCTATATAGCATAAAATCGTTTTTCCGGATGTTCGGAATGAAGAGTATGGATGTTCGTAACAGAAAAAGAGCGGATGTTCGTAACAAAACGTGAGAAATTGTTACGAACATCCAGACATTTTTGAATACCAAAACACTAAAAAACCATGGCTTATGCCGTTCCGTATACCCAGGCGACTTTTATTCCTAACATCCCGATTTTTTTTTGTTACCGTTCCGAATATCCGATCTTCCGAACTTTTCCAAAAAAAACGGGAGCTCGAAACGGACTATTGTGTCGAATGTCCGTAAGAAAAAACAAGGAAGAAAAGGACGCGGCCATTTTTTCCCATAAATTTTATTTCAAGAGTTCGAAAGATACTAAATTTTTTTGAAATCTTTTTTATTTTTCAAAAACCAAGACAAAAACAGAAAATCCAGAACTCACAAGTCATAACCACAAGTGTTTTCACCGTTCCAAGATCAGTTCGAGTGTTGTACCAATTAAGATAGACGAGAAATCTGGAAAATGACAGTGTATCTTTTTCAAAAAAGTGATTTTGAAAAACACGAGGACAAGTAAAAGGAGTGGAGCCGACAAGAGGTAAAATCGGTCCTTCTGAAATTTTCTTTATATTCATAATGTACTTCATGTTCGGGCGTAAAACTGTCACCTTATTAGCCGTCAAAACGTGCTTATTGGATAAAATTCGCCACTTAGAATTTTGTTTCCTTCCACTATCTTCACTGAATAACGTTGTCATATTTAGTCTCTGTCTTACAGCAAACCACAACTTTTATATATCATTCGATAAAGAATTTTACGGGTTTCTATTAAGAAGAAACTGTAACTGGATATTTTAACATTAAAAATACTATTCACCACGTCAACAAGTCGGTAGGTCAACATTCTGCAAGATTTTCGTCTATAAGTTGATTTATTCTTTTATCCGTGGTCAGTTGTTCTAGTTTAAGACATGTAGGAAAAAAGCTGAAACTTTAATACTGCCAGTAACTAATGTAGCAAGATTACTGGGCGGCATTACACGTTCTTTGGTCTGCCAATGCTCATAACTTTAGAATCAAATTACAGAAACAACATGATTGCAGCATCCTAAAATGCGGCTTCACTTTCTGTCAATCGGACAATCGCAAAACCAGCCGGTAGTCTCGTCTTTCGTAAATTGTATAATCGGATGATAAGATTTTTGTGTAACATTTGCCGATTGTTTTGTCACATGTACAATATCCGACATTGTTTTACACTTTCGAACAAGATAAGTAACGGGTTCGGTTAGTTTCGTTGACGAACAATAAGAACTTAAGCATATAATCGTATAGTCTATAAGTGACGTAACACAGGGTTTAAGGTACTACCTATCGTTCAAATACTACAGGGTTTATACGCTCAGTAACGCGATGATCAAAAATGGAAGTTCTTTTTAGTAGCCTTTGAAGAGTTATGATTTTCTCTAAAATGTAGTAAATATAGATGAAAGTGTCAAATAGAAGATTTTTAGCTATCAAAATATCGAATCACATTTTAATTAAGAATCTGGTCACTAATGTACAGATTAAAGCTACGGTAACGTGATGACCGTTTTGGTAACGCGATAACACCCTTTTCATTACCTCGCATAAGTTTTTCTCAAGTGTACACTGCACAGAACAGTTATTTAAAGGATAAATGTAGCTCATTGACACATGTACTTTGTGATGTGTGACGAAAACTGGGATGAACGTATCACTGATATAGATATACAGATGACTAAAAGCAAAAATCTATATAATCGAAGATTACTAATATTAAGACGCGTGACAAATGCCCAAACTGGTAGTCATAAGAAAGAATGCTTTTCGTTTTATGAAACTACATGATGAGCCTTGACGACAACGAAACACATGTTAAAAATGTAATAGATTATCATTTTTAAAATAGCATGAGCTCTTTGTCAAATAATGTTATGAAACTTTGGTCATGCATGGGGTACCGTTAGCCGGATACGCCGGTTTCAGACTTTTATGATTCAACGAATCATGAAGATCAAGGCACTAAATATTTTTTAAAGTAATTAAAAAACATTTTCCTACATGTCTTAAACTAGAACAACTGACCACGGATAAAAGAATAAATCAACTTATAGACGAAAATCTTGCAGAATGTTGACCTACCGACTTGTTGACGTGGTGAATAGTATTTTTAATGTTAAAATATCCAGTTACAGTTTCTTCTTAATAGAAACCCGTAAAATTCTTTATCGAATGATATATAAAAGTTGTGGTTTGCTGTAAGACAGAGACTAAATATGACAACGTTACACTGATCGACGTTTTTGTGGATATTCTTGCAAGATTCTTGTCTCTTGCCATTTCACACAAGAATCCTCAATTTTGTCTTGACAGATCAGACATGATTCTTCTTTTAATTCTATACTGATTTTTTATCTTTTTTCGTTAAAGATTCTTGTCTGAAGTGGCAAGATTTGTTGACGACAAAATCACCTATTTGTTTTGTCGATTCACCTGCTATATATAAGTTACATAATATAGCTCAATACTATACGTATAGATGTCTTTAAAAAGTCTTTTACATCTCATAAGATTCTTGTCGAGAGACAATCGAGTCTTTACATGTGCCTATACTGGCATCAGAGCATCCAGCTCCTATATATATGAAAAGAAAAGAAGACGGAAAATGGATTATATATGCATTCTATTTATTTGCAAGATTCTGTTAAGAATTACAAGACAAGATTCTTGCAGGAAAAAATGAGACAAGAATCTTGCAGAAAATCGCTTTCTTGTGCAGTCAGACAAGAATCCGTCTCGCGGTTCTTGTATGAACTCAGGTGACAGTTTTACGCCTGAACATGAAGTACATTATGAATATAAAAAAAAATTTCAGAAGGACCGATTTTATTCTTGTCGACCCCTCTCCTTTATTTCTCATACAGCACTTATTGTTGCAAATTCAAGTGAAGCAGATACCTGTGATATTTTGCTGAGGCAGCGAATGTGATCGACATATTTGAACCAGAGATCGGCACGGGCAGAAAATTTCCGACAAAGAAAACTTGAAGGCCGAGTCCGGTCTGACCCGACCAGTATCAAAAATTTGAGGGCCTGGTCCGGTCCATGGACAGACCCTTTCGGTTGTTTACAGTCTCTTGCATCGTTAACGCTAATAGGCTTGGTTGACAAATTCCTATAAATGTGCCTCTGACACAACTCTATCATTTAAATTTTCATGATTTTTTTCCAATCTTTGTATGCACTAGATAACCTGTTTATTCAGCTACAAGAAAATATTATAATATTCCGTCACGAACATGTTTATACTAAATATAATGGTTTTATTGATGTATTTAACCATATGCTCTCGGAAAGAAAGGTCATCGGCCCGACCCGGCCCAACCGGTGTTAAAAGCATTCTGACCCAGCCCGATGCGATCAAAAGCCTGACCCTTGCCGACATCTGATTTGAACTGTAATAATTGAGAAATATGTTTGTTCTTATATATTGATTTTAGGAATACTAAAACAGTGCGTGCAATGATTTATTGAGTACATAGATAATATCCGTATGAGAACAATGTCTATTGAATGATATTTTCGAGAAAAAAAGTAAAAAATGTTTGTTTTTCAACATAAGAAGCCTAGTAATAAATATCATAAGTTCAGGAAAGATAAAGAAGCTTCTGTATTTGTGTTACTGAGTATTGTCGAAACAAAATATTTAGATATACTAATGTTCTGAAATAGCTGTTTGTTGTTGTACAACGTAATGGTGATTTACATTATTGAACACGGTGGTTGATTGAACGGACTGTTCGCCCTAAATAAACAAAATAAAACAAGTGCATATTAGAGATTTCACCCAAAATAAAACAGAGCGCGTGAAGTCTTCCATACAAGTGATGTATTCGCATTTTCAGAACATGCACACCTCTATAAATGGCAACAAATTATGTTCATAAATACAATTATTTATAATTAATTTTTCAATGCATCATCGATAACGGATGCCTATATTTAATTATTAGAAAGTCGATTCTATCGGGACATGATCGAGCCATCATTGATGCCCAAAAACTAAAGCTATGAACATATGTAATTAATTAGATCGGGTTGTGGTCTTGTTGTCAAGAATAATATGTGTGCTGGAAGAACATTTTCTCCTAGTGTATTTGGTCGTCTTATTGTATTTGTGGAAACTATTCGTGAGATACGTACTGGACGGTCAGTGTAATTGGATCTCGAACAAAGTGCGGACAGTGAAGAATATGGACAAATTCGTTTTGAATCTATGGAATCTATCAGACAAGATCGATGGCGTTGCCACTAGGTGTTTGCCGGATGTAAACAAGCCAGCCGTTGCTTGAATTGTTAGAAGTGTAAAAGCTTTGTCTTTCGTCATTAAGATTGCTTAAGCCTTTTGATGAAGTTTCCTGATTGGATTGGATATTGTAGAACGTGTGCGTATTTACGTAGTTATGGTTTTCGGAAGATGATTTTATTTATGTGAAAGAAATATTTAATGATAATTCATGAACAAGGGTAACAGCAAACGAAAATTCTAAGGCGCCTATCAAAAATTCTGATATTTTCATGCATCGAGCGCTTGAAGACTTACTTGAGGCCAGAACTTCCAGCCATCAATGGTGCTTGTATAGCAGGTCGTGATAGAACACTTAGACCTCCTGTAGGATTTCTTTGTCCAATGGAATTGGCTGCCTGATTGGCTACAGCCTATGGATAATGAAGGACATGCGTATAGAATAACTGATAGGCACTTGAGATTATTGATACATACTCGTACGAGAGCTTGCCGGAACATATTTGGTTGTTGCTGCTGCTGTTGTCCTATAAATGAAGGTTGCTGACCGACGACAAGTCGTGCAGGTGCGTACGATGGTTGACTGAGTGAAACTAATGGATTAACTGCAACTTGTTGATTTTGTATGGGAATGATTACAGGATCGTATGGGCGTTGATAAAGAATTTGAGGGCTTGCTAAACATAACACAAAGACTAATTTGAATTAAATTGCTATTAAAGCTTATAGTTTTCTGCTAGCACTACTGAGAACGTTGTTAACAATCTCTCAGTTTTGAGAACTTACCAGGTTGTTAAATTAGTAAGCCTAAATGTTCACCACCACCTTGCGTATAAAAATAAGAACGTGCTTAAACTTCGGTAGTTCAACATGCTATACGAACGTATACCTGTATTGGGAGCAAGAATTGACGTTGGAGATGATACTGCTGAAAGAGAAAAATGCATGTTAGTAGAATGTGAGAATAATGAGCAAGAATTGTTATAAAAATTATAATGAGGATTTTACATAAAATTTCATACTTTTCATATAGACAAAATTGTTGAATGTTAGATATAAGTTTTAAAAGCAAGTTATTGGGTTAAGTAAAACTGCTGTTATGATAGTCTTTTATATCTGCTAGTTTTTAATACATGCGCAAAACAAACCTCGCAGTGATTGTAATAAATTTGCTGGAAGTACTGTTGAAGATTGAACCAGCTGTTGTTGTGGTTGTATCGATTGTAGAAATTGTGTCTGTTGTTGCGGTTGTATCGATTGTAGAAATTGTGTCTGTTGTTGCGGTTGTATCGATTGTAGAAATTGTGTCGGTTGTTGCGTTTGTATAATTTGTGGCATGGACGTCTGAAATATCTGAGGTTGTTGAAATTGTTGTGATTGTTGAAATTGTTGTGATTGTTGAAATTGTTGTGGTTGTTGTAAAATGACACTTGTTGCTTGTTGTAAAGGAGTTTGTACACACAATAACGGTTGTTGACCTGTTGTTTGAATTGGATTGTAAACAGGTATTTGATTGATAAATGTAGGCTCAATTGATGTTGTTTGTTGTTGAGGTTGTGTCATAATAACTGTTTGAGCCCCTTGTGACGGTGAATTATCGTAACAAAGATATTGCTGAGAAGGCTGGGATAAGTAACTAGTTGACGGTTGTTGATGATGAACAATTCGAGTTGGTGAACGTAACAGATCGGTCTGTGGTTCAGAACAATATAGTGTTGATGTATCAGCGGGATACTGTAAACCAGAAGAAACAGGATCTGATTGTAGGATCTAGAAGCGAAAAAACACAAAGGATTTTTACTGGAAACGTAGTATACGATGTGTCCATGCGTCAGTGAGCATTCCGAGAAACAAGCAGCAAAATTCAAGGGAAGAAGAATGTAATGGCATTAGGTATATGTTGAGGATACTGTGCGCAATTCACGAATGTGAATAGATAGTTTCATATTATTAGCATGAGAAAAATACGCATTCAACATATAATAAAAATAATGACTCAACATAAAAATGATGTTTGAAAAACTGTGCATGGATCAGTCATCCTATGTACAAGACACGCTAGCACATTGGAAATTATCGATTAAAGAAAACGCAACGTTCTACGTGAAATATACGGAACGTTTGGTACGCATGTTATAGAATTGAATTTTCTTAGAATCTCAAAAATAGCAGCATCACATTACGTTCAGCATGAGAGAAGTTGAATAGTTTTAGAAGAACTAAAATTAGATTAGTGAATCTCGAGTGAAATTGATGAAAAAACAGTTTTGAATGTGGAGTATCTAAAAAGAGATAGAATTCAGAGACGAGAATGTGGTAGTCTATATGCTGCATTGAAATAACTCTGAATATAGTATTTAAAATACATAACAATACACTTGTTTTCAACAAAGAGTGCCTTCATATTTTCTAAAGTTCTTTACTCAGTGAATGTCAAAGAGTTTCCGAGATTTATCAAAAACATTCCACAGAAAGCATATTGTAGATACAGCAACTCGAACAAAACTAATTATTATGAATTTTCAGTTAGATGTTGCACAGATTTCTTTCTCTTAAGAAACCATATATTAGCAATTTAAGACATGCATTAGAGCCATGCTCTTGAAAATAATGGATTAGCAGCTCTATTTTTCACTCTCTCATACATATGAGCCCGGCTGATTGCTATCGTCTTCGTAATATACTCTCTCGTATTGCTGAGTTCCCCCACTGGCAGCAGAAGGATATGTTTGAACTGTTCGAATAAATGGTTGATTTTGAATGATTGTTGGTTGTGAAGATAGAAATGGATAACTGCCCACTTGACGTTCAGTCATAGAGGATGAACGATGAAGAGTATATTGTTTTTGAACAGGATTTAATTGAGAATGAATTGATGGTAAGTCGTTTGTTTCGTCTTCTTCATATTCTTGATCTTGTCGAATAACGGCGTTTTGTATAGCCTGTTGTTTCAAATACAACATCACATACTAGTTTTATACTCTGAAATGGGAAATTTAAAATAAATCCTCTCGCATGTTCTTACCGTTTCTTGGCCATCATAGTATAACTGTGATATTCCGTCTGACGCTACATCTTGATAAACAACAAGTGGTGATTGTCGATCATCTGTAGTAGTGTAAGATTGCATTGGTATGTTACTGCTTCCATCGGCTGGTATTTCTCGATAAACGATCATCGGTTGTTGCTGGTCATTTTGTTGAATAAAAGCTGTTTGCGATCGTGGTTGAGAAATCGACTTTCGATGATGTTTACGATGTGAATGACTTCTATGATGATGTTTATGATGGTGGTGGCTATGATGATGTCGATGGTGATGTTTACTGTGACAATGTTTGGGAGAAACAGTCATTCGTTTAGATGTGGAATTGCTGTCAGCGGAATCTTTTAAGTTTTCACTTGGCCACATTTTACTTGGCTGTGATATGTCGGATGTAACTGATTGATTTGGTGGAGCCTAGAAAAAAAGAGTCAAATATATAGACAATCACAATTGTATGATAAGTTTTAATCTGAAAACTTAGCTAAAATAAAGACAAAATAAAATAAGCTTACAGAATATGTATTTGTTCGTGTTAGAACCAAAGCAGCTTGAGCAGTATTGTTTGTAGTAGATGTTGAAGATGAAGAATTTCTTTCAAGTTTTGACTAAAGAGTATTTATTCGATTAGTATATGAAAAATAGAAAAAGAATTATTAGAATAAGCGATAGTTATTGAGCATAGAACAAGAAAAGAGCAGATAGCTTACAAGTGGTGCATCGACATTTATATACACATGGGACGGAATGGCTTGAACACGTTCAGAAGTTTTTTCTAAAATTATTTTTTTTGATCATTATCTTCGTCAAAGTTTAGTTCCAATCCTCGTTGCTCACCATTTTGTTGTCCGGATATTCCTTCAATAGAATTTAATTTCATTTCCAAATCATTTTGTCTAGCATTTTTAGATGCCCACGACGAATATTTTCTAGACATTCTATTTTGTTTAAACTATTTCCATGTTCCAAGTCAACTTTCTGGCATATAACCTAACCGCAACAAAAGTATGTGTGTGTGTACGATACGCAACGAAAAGTATTATGAAGGTTATGTACACCTTTTCCGCTGATTGTTTCTATCTTTTTCTCATTTTTTTTAAAGTGTTGGTTTTACATCAATAGTGTGTTAACTACAAAAAAATAAGGTGAAAAAAACTGTAAAATATCCATTCGTGTAAATATAGAAATCAATTTTAGATTTTTTTTCAGTAGAGAATAAAATAAAAAAGAGAAATATTTCATCCAAATCCGACAAGGTTATAACATATAGTTTTAATATTGAAGGCAAATTTCCTTTTCATAATTTTTGGCATTGAATCAATCAAAAGAAGAGCATAGATGGATAAATGGATACCTTGATTATTGTCAGCAAAAATATCATCAATAGGATTTCTTAGAATATTTGAGTTGTGCAGTAAGTTGTTTACTGTCTATCTATATGCAATTTAATCAAGCACTAAGAAGGCTATCACAGTGAAAGTAAGAGAAAAACATTAGTCTAGTTAAAAATTAGATAAGATTTATCGATGATATAATTCATAATTTCAAGGTATAAAAATGAATTTTATAACCGTAGAGATTTATGCACTTACCACTATTCGATTCAATCAGTTTTTGATCTATTAACTAATAATCTTGAGTATATGTTTCTTTTTTCTCATTCAAAATATTCCAAAAACTAAAGTGGTCTTTTGTTCAATGATAAGTATTTTGTGTGTTTATTGGTGATACAATTTGAACAAAAGTCGTTTTGTATTTATATTGTTTGACTTTATCTTTTTCCACATCTGTATTCAATGGAAAAAAAAACGGGACGTTTGTTTCGGTATAATATATGTATTATACATTTCGATGAACATTTATTTAAACAGGAAAAAAAAGAACTCAAAATTGTATTTTATATCGTGTTGTCCTTTCAAATGATATTTTTCTTTTGTGTGTATATATAAGCGTACTGTCAATTTATCTTTAATGTCGATCGATATTAAAATGTCTACCCATATTTGAACTGTAAAATGAATATGTCCTGTATATATATATAAGTTACACATACTATACCCAAAAATGTTGGATAATAGCCAAAAAAATGACCAAGTCTAGTGAACATTTTATGAATAATCTTCACCCATTTAATTACATTTCTTAAGTACATAGCAATGCACTATTCTAAACTATTCTCACTTACCTTTTTTCGTTAATATTGGCTTATAACCAGGTAATAACAATTAATATCATTGCTTAATACGAACTAAAATATAAAATAATATACAGTTATACCATCGAATATAATATTCTACTTCTAAAAACAAAAAAAAAGAACAAAAAAAGAAAAGTATTTTTGATCAAATTCGTTTGATGTGCTTGATGTCTAAAATCAATTTAATAAAATCAATTTGTAATTTATCGTCTTATATTTATTAGTAGCAATCATAAATTTATTATATAGAACATGAGAACCAACTTATGAGCACATTCACACGTTCAATTTCTATTGAATAGACACTTTACTTCATTAATAAAACAAATTGACATGTTTTTCTAAAATCTAACGAGAGATCCGTCCCAAGTGATTAATCGTTTTAACTATGAAATTACTCTTCTTATATAGAATCGATGGTGCTAATTACGAATACGAAGTCCCTTTTGGTTCAATTTCAGTTTCTAAGCCGAAATTCAAAAAACCGCGACTACATAGACCCGAAAATTAAAGTTGATCAAAACATTTTTTTGTGAGTCGGCTGTTTTGTAGCCCGTATCAAATTATCTTTAATCTGTAAGATTTAAACTTCCCAATTGAGTTTTAGAGGAGCTACTCATTTTTTTGACATGGAAAAAACTTCGTATAGATAAAACGTCTTTTAGTGAGAACTGTATCGTTGTAAAAAAACGAGTAGCTCTTCTAAAATTCAATTGAGAAGTTCGAATCTTACAAATTAAAGATAATTTGATGTTCGTAATCAGCGTCATCGATTTTGTATAAAAAGAGTAATTTCATAGTTAAAACTATTGATCACTTGGGACAGGCCACTCGTTAGATTTTAAAACGATGATTTTAAAAATAGTTACTAATGATAACGTCTCTTCGTCTACTTATCCGCTGTATCAACAAAAAAAAATCTTTCAATATATATATCATCATAATAGCTTTGTTCTTTGGTTTAAGCTTTAATCTTGAACCAGAACGAAATCGAGAATATAAATTCCCATTATATCATTCTGAAACTTAAACTATCAAAACACAAAATCAATCCTTGCACAAAGCTTTGTTCTTTTTTTTCTTGAAAAAAAGAAGTTATTAACATTTTATAGGAAAAAATGAGTTCAAACCATCATAGTGCAAGCAATCTATTAATAGATCTATAGAAGCAAAATCTATAGAAGCAATAGATGATCTTATTTTTTATGATAAACTGTATATAAATTTATTCGTTCAACTCTATTCGATAATAATACTCAAAAATACTTATGACTAGCAACCGTTTTATATGTTGTATTCAACGGTCATACTATAGCCATCCGTGTCGAGTCGACATAACTATTTATACTGATTGTTCTCTTTTCCTATTTTTAATAGGTTTTTTATATAAAAAAACCCATTAAAGTAAGAAAAGAGAACTATTAATATTAAATAGAAAACTAATTTTTTGTCAACATTTTACAATTATTGTCGTGAACAAGCATTAAACAGTAGCGTGTAAAGGATTAAATATAATTGAAACAATTGTCAATATTCGATGTTCTCTACACTTTGATTTCAATTTGTTTAAAATCTATATGATATATGGACGAAATCTTTCGTCTACATGATTTCCATTTTCTATTTCTATTATATTTTCTAATTTTCTAAATTATAAAATTTTAATAAGAGAAATATACAGATATTTTTCTATAATGCGAATATTATATTTGTCTGCATCTTCGTCAACTACCACTACTCACTCGCAAGGTATTCAATCCAGTCTTCCCTGGATACTTCTCACTTAAACGTTTCTTACTCAGGAATAGGTTTTTTCCTCCTAGATTCTTTTAATCTGTGAAAGATCTGTTCAAAATTCCACTCGTAATTAGACCAGAGTTGGAACCGTTTGAAAAAAACGCAATCGGATCGGATCGACCGTTAACGGCCGATTAAAAAGTTTTTCTAAATCAGTAAAAACCGGTCTAAAAAGGTTTGATTATTTTCTAATGATATTTGTTTTTTAGTGGTCTATGCCACTAAAACACACAGTGTGTCCTTGTAACCATTTTTCAAAAGATGGAAATATAGGCACTTGTCGACACCAAGTTTCGAAATGTGTCAAAGCTTCCAAGTCGACATCGAAAAGCTAATGAAAAAGTCCAACTAATTATATTTTTGTTCATTTTGCTCTATTTTGTCTGATGGAGATGCCTTTGACGTTGAAATATGACAATGAGAATAAGACACTTATATACACACTTTCACAACACGAACAGTTCTGACCGATATATTTCTTTATACTATTTTGTGGACAAAGCAGAAAAAATAAAGAAAAATGAATAAGTCGTAACTATCGGTGTTATTAGGGGAAAGTAAAAGTCAGTTTTGTTTCTGCTATTGAAATTTATACGAAAAAAAGCAAATTTTTTTTTGAAATTCTTTTTGCTGAAAAAGTGATTTGAAAAGAAGGAAAATTCTAAAAAAGTTTTATAAAGATAAATCGATAAAAAAACGGTAAAAAACGGCCGATTGAAAAGTTTAATCGGTATCGGGTCGGCTGTTAACGGCCGACCCGATACCGATTTACCGATCCGGTTCCAACTCTGAATTAGACATATAGTATAAAATATTGAAGTTTTTTGACGATAGTTTTGTAGAGCGTGTAAAGAATGAGACATGATGGGACTCCTCATCTCTTTTCCGTTTACTGCCATTGTTTCTTAACAAAGAGATATAAACTGGTTATCGGTATTATATCCGATCGTGATGCTTTTGATAAACATTTTTATCTAACTCCTACATCGAGACAAAAAGCAATGTTATATATACATCATTTTGTTCTAGAAAACCCAGTGGTTAAAGAAATTCTAGAAGATTATTTTGCATTACAAAAAGCTTTTTTAATAGAAAGACCACGGAATTATGACCGAGAGATGTCAATCCATGCCTACTCGCAATCGAATGAGACTCTTGATCGAATCTTATGCAAGTCATCTTCATTTAATATTAAAAAAAAGCAATTATACTATGTTTACTATATTCACGCTTGACTATATGATAGATTAGATGCAACTGATTCAACTCGTTTAACAGAATTAATTTGTCTTATCATATTCTCATTGTTATCGATTGTTTTTAAACGTTCCGAAAAACGTTCTAATGTTGTACGTTTATTAACAATTGTTTCACAATTTTTATGTTGTTTTCTATTGTAATAATCGTTAACAGCATCTTTTATTTCATTTAATAAGTTCGATTCATGATAGTTCATTGTTTTGTGAACAAATTGAGTTTTTGTGCAATTATTGACCGTTATTGTATGATGCTTCTCCCAATAGTTTAAAAGATCATCATAATTATTTTTAAACAAATTCCATTCGTTTGTTGAATCATTCATATTATCCATTTCTTTGTTGGCACCTGTCAACACTGATTTGTACAAGCAGAAGAAAAAAAATTAATTATTATTATTTTTTTAATACTTAACTATGGCATATTACCTGAATTTAATGTATTCTCCATTGTTGTTAAATTCATTGCAAAATGCATTTGTTCTCGAATCGTCATTAGACGCTGTTGTTCTAATGTTCTTAATTGTACAACATTTGTTTGATAAATATTCATAAATTCTTCATAGAATTTTTGAAATTTTATTGGATTTTTATTGATTAAATCTTGTTTTATATATTTATCATGTTTCTTTAATAATGTTTTTAAATTTTGTTTCGATTTTGTACGGCTTATTTCGGTAAAATATTTTTGAAAATTTAAAAAATTTTTATTACATTGTCGTAAAATACGAATTTTAACAAATAAATTATTGATTTTTTCTTGCAGTAATGTCATATACCTAGAAAAAAAAAAAAGTATTAATATTAATTAATTAACCAAAAATAATAAATTTCTATCTACCATATGATATCTTTTCGATAGTTGGAATATAAACAGTGTTCATACTGTAATGAATACAAAAAATTATCGGTATATTTTTGTAAATTTTCAAGAAATATTGAATAAATATAATCTAATTTTAAATTTTGTTTATAGAGAAATTTTAGAAAATTTAATCCCTGATCGGTACGATCTAATAAAGCGTATGGATCAATTAATATTTGTATTTTTTCTTGTGAATGTTGTTGAATTGATAGATGTATTCGATTTGTACAATAACTACACCATAAATTTTGAGCATTCTGATGAAATTTTGCTGTTGAATAATTGCTACTATCATTTATAGATGATGAAATATCTTGTTGTAACTTTTTAGAAGAAGAATTATCTCTTGACTTTAATAATAAATTAATTACTTTTAATGGTATATTAGTATTACAGTTATTTAATGAAGAATATTGTGATTTAGAAGGATTATTTTCAATCATTGTTTGTGTAGATATTGAACGCGTACAGCAAGATGATTTTGTTTGTTGTTCTTCAATTTGATTTGATATATTCTTCATTTTACTGTTCTCATCATTAGAACAATGTTTATTAATATTTGAACTTTTAATATAAATACAATTTTTATGATATTTTTGAAGAATAGATGAAGGATCATTTTGAAATATTAGACTAGTCGAGGTCTTAGTTTGAAAAGTAGAATTAAGATCATTATTATTCAATTCACTATACATTATCATTTCTTCAACGTTACTATTCATAATCTCATGATTCATAATTTATTCGCGCCGTCGTTGCACAAACATGTATATGAATATGATTGTTAATTCAATTTGCTCATTAGATGAGAACATATTTATTCTATAGAGAATAGTTAAAATGTTGAAATACTTCTTACTATCAAATAGTAGTTCCAGAAAATAAATATTAAAGTTCAATGTGAAGAAGTTGAACAAACATACTGTCATACTAATAATTTTTCACAAGATAAAAATTTAGAAAACAATTTTCCTTTTTGTTCCTTTAATGTTCGAATGTCGTTAACAATTTCTTTTTCTGAAAGATAAGAAACATAGGTTTTTAATAGCTGACAATACTATGTTTCTTATCTTTCAAAGTATAAAGTCATTGTTCATTCTCAAAATTTAATTTCTTTTTCTTCTTGTCATTGTTATTCAATCAAATATTCATATCCATTTTTGTATTAAAATGGATACAAATGTTTAATGTATCCATTTTTCTAAAAATGGTCGTTTATCTGCATAGAAAATTTTATTGATCGATAATTATGATAAATTCCTTCTGTTATATGCGAACGTTTTTTATGTTTTATAAATATCAGCAAAAAATAATGTTGAACACAAACCACATTCTAAAAAGTCTATAAATATTGTCGTCTATGCATGGATCGATGACAGTCGGTTGCAATTTCGTGTTTTTTCTATTAAAAAAGCTTTTTGTAACGCAAAATAATCTTCTAGAATTTGTTACACCACTGAGTTTTCTAGAGCAAATATGTCTTTAAAAATTTCAAAAAATTTTCGATTCCGAGTTGAACATAACCTAATATAGGGAGTAAAAAATATGACCACTTTCAGCATTTCACTATTTTTTTGGGGGAAAAATATTATGAGATTTATAAGTTTTTGCTTTTCAGTGCCTTCAAATGTTTTTCTTATTCATAGTTTGATACAAAAAAGTGTTCTCTTCATGATGAGACATCCATTTCTAGTGATTTGGGAAGAGAAAATATGAATATTAAATTTGAGAGTAAACAAGAACTTTTTATTTTTCCAATGGTCTACCACTAAGCTATAGAGGCACAGTCTTGGCATATTTCTTTCGAGTGAATGATCTTAGTTATCGAATTGTATATTGTAGTGGTACTTCATCCGAAGCAAATTCCAGCACATACCTCTACTGAGAATTTATTGTGCCTTTGTTCGCCGCTAGCTGCTGAATATTTTCATGTCTTCCGTTCTGTTATGGACTCTTCGATTTCTCTCTCCAGCTAAATGAGAACCGTTTGAGATTATTAACTTTTCGAATAAGTAACCTCTAATAAGAAGGAATTATTATGTATTATTGAATCAATACGGTTATCACAGTTTGATATCTGTTTCATGGTACAATAATAAAAAGCAATAAGCATAAACTATAAAAAGTCTGATCGAAAAACAATAATAACAACAAGAACAGAAAAATTTAACAATATTAGAAAAACAAAGTTTAGCAATGGTGCACGAATGATTTGTGCTTAACGGTGGATGGTGAATTGATTTTTTACAGAATTTGGTTAACACTACTCCTGTGCGAAACAGAGACATCTGACAATGTCGAATTTGTTTCTTATTTTAGTCTTTCATCATATTTTTCAAGATTATGGCGGATTAGAACTCTGTTCACTGTTATAGGGCCTGTCCAATTCTTCTCTTATCAAATCCATTCGAGGTGGGGGTATAGGATGAGGCTGTTCAATAGTATTTTTTGAGTGTTTGTTATGTTTATGCACATGTGAATGATCATCGCCTTTAGTTTCAGAGACAACTTTAAATTGATTACTATTCGTATCATTTGATATTGGTGCTGTACGAGTCCGAAGTGATTCAGGTCGTGGAATATTCTTAATACTATTATTGTCATTATATCCATAAAATGGTGAAGGTGTTGGTTTTTTAATCGAGGCTGTGTTGATTGATGCCGATTTTTGATTAGAATCTAATGAAAATGGTGTGAGTATTGCTGATGGTGTAAGATTGCTTGTTAGGGGTTGTTGTTCACCATATACGAAACAATTTGGATGTTTTTTCCTTAGTTTTTCTATTTTCTGTTGTCTCCACGATTGCATGTATTGTTGATGACTAATTACGGTTAAGAATGTAATTGATTGACCCGTGCTCGTTGTTGAAAGTGCTGTTGGTTCGTTGGATAGTGAAGAATTTGTTATACCCAAAAATGGTATACTTTTAGAAAAAATAATTGGCGCTGTTGACGGTGATGGCTGAGATTTTTGACGAAAAGTTGAGGGCCGAACTTCTTCATCTGCAGCTGGGAATTTTCTTGTAGTAGAAGTGACTGTTCTGACACTCGGTGATTGGATAACGCCAGGTAGAAATTCTTGACTATGGTCTATAGTAACTTGAGAACGATCAGATCTTGGAGGAGGAAAAGATGGTGAATGCAGTGGTGTTTCTGCATTCGAATTGAATAGCTGACTTGCTTTCATCATAATATATCGTTCAGCTGGGCTTTGTGGTACCGGTGAGAAAACTGGTTGAGGTTGTGTCGGTTGACGGTATTCTTCTGGTTGCGTATCTGCACCTGGTTGAATCTGCTGTTGTGATTCCATTTGTAAATTATTGCGCTGTAAAATAAAAGTTACGAGACGTCCTAGAATAGAAAGAGAAGAATTTAAAACACGTTTAGTAAGAACAAATATACTTTTATATACCTGCTAGTTGCTTGCGTAAATCAAATAGACGATAATTATTAATTATCGTATAAGCTAAATACCACCGAAAGCGAGCTCTCTTTTTCTTCAATATTTTGTCTTTTTTATTTTCATTTTTTTGAGGTCGAGATGGATGCTCACTTGGAATCGGACTAGCAGTAGAAATACCTGGTGGTGCTTCTGATACACTTCTTTTTGTTGAACTATGAATATCTTCTTGATCTTCATCATCATTGTTATCGCTGCTTATATCTGCTTCGGTGTTTTCGTCATTATCTTGTTTTACCGATTGTTGTTGGATTTGTAGTTGTTTTTCTCTGGTTGAAGTATTTAAAGACGATTTTAATGAGCTAATCATTGAATAGGAATGGTTGATAACACTCCAACTATTTGGTTCTGATATCGCCCTGTCTGAGGACACTGATGAATCATTATCACTGTGATCAGGCGACAGCGAGAGAAGTTGATGATTATATTGATTGTTTTTATTTTTGATTAATGGTTGTCGAGATGGTAACGGTGGTGGTGGAGATTTTTGAGCCTGACTATAAGATATTGTTCGCAGTATATTATTATGGCTTGGAACTTGATTATAAGTAGATGACTGGTCTTGTTTTCTGCTATCGTATTTCGTTTTTTCATCAACAGTTGCGGTAGTTATAATAATGTTGTTATTACTATTTCTATTTTCATCATAAGATGGTTTGGTTGTATCGCATATTCTTGTTTTATCATTCTTCTCGTTTGACGAACTTTTCAATGAATTTTTGGATGACCTTGTTTGTGATTCGCTTATCGAACCATTATCGCAGCCTTCTATGTCCCTTTCTTTTGCTTTTGAATGCAAATTATCGAAGAGCTTTGGTTTAGTTAATGGGACTAATTTGATTACTTCATCATAAGATTTTTTTGGTTTGACAAGTCTTCCCTCGCCACCTTCCAGTAGATTATCATCACGTTCTGTTTTTCTCACTTTATTACCGTTTGGCTTTTTATTTAAACTCTCCCCTCTGCTTCTGCTAACTTCAACTTCTTCATCTTGATCGTTTTCTGGCGCACTTCGAGTTTTTAATGAAATAGGTTTTTTTATCAAAACGATCTTACTCGTAGTATCATGGGACTGTTGTGCTCTTCTTATATTTCCATCCTCGTCTTCGATATATTCAACCGTTTGTTTTTTGGGTTTTTCTGATTTTTTTCGAGGGTCTTTTGTCTTTAAAACTACTTGAATCGCTCCATCATCATCTTCTTCAGATTCGTCTTGTTTTTCATCCGACTGCTGCTTTAAACCAAGCTGTAGTCTTTTTTTCGATAGTAGTTTCTCAACAGTATCACACCTCTTGAGAACTCTTCCGCCATCAATATCCTCTTCATCATCTTCATTCTGTTTTAATTTTGGTTTATCCGGTCTTTTTCGTATTTTGCAAACATCGATTTGATTACTCTCGGCAGTATCCAGTAAACATGGTAATTTTGCGTTTTTAATGAACATTTGTTCAGGAGTCGAATATGAGTTTTGAGTAATTCTACCATCATCAAAGTCAATTTCTCCTTTCACTTTCTTAGTATTAATTGATTCTGATTTTGTAGTGGGTTTGAAAACTGATAATCTTTTATTATTTGTTTGCTTTTCTTCATCGGCATGCTCGTTCTATAACAATACAAAAATTAGAGGGAGCGAACTGAACAGCACTAAACGTCCGCTAACGTCTATAATTTTCCATTATGGACAAAAATTCTCAATTTTCAGCTGTGACATTTCAAACAGATAGAAGAAAAAGTAATAGCCACTGAGTATCCAAAATCTGAATATCAAAGTGATCATAATTCTATTATTCAATGTTGAGAATTGTTGTATACTCAATAATGAAAAATTGTAGACACAGCGGATACCATTTTTCTATTGCTAAAAATATCTGTTTTGACAAAAAAAGATTTGAAAAAATTTTCTTTGGCTGAAATCTCAGAGGGAGAACCGTCGATCCACTTGCTTGACTTCAAAAGCTTGCTATCATCCCCTACTCCCTTCATCGTAAAATATATTTATGAAAAATATTTATGTTCATGGAAGATAGAGAATTAGCGACTCTATAGAACAAAATCACGAAAACTAAAAGCGAATAATAAAAATTCATAGGAGGATAAAATTTTTCAAATAGCAGAATTAGATAGTTGAAAATTTTTACTTCAAAATGAGATATCTCCCAATTCTAGCAAGTAATTGACTATAATGTCATAGTGAAAACTCTCAAAAACATGACCACCTGGGCGTAGACCTCAGAATATCGGCTGCGAAGAAAAAATCTAATTGACAAACACAAAAAAAGAAAGTATATGTATCGAAGTTATTTTGTCAGTAAGAAAGGAAATAATACGCATATATACATAGTCTTAAGTGTAGGATACACAAATAAAACGAGATGCGTTTGAATTTATACATATCTCACACATAATAATAGATATTCCTATCATACCCTTAAATTTGGTTTCATTTTTGGCAAAAGTTCAATGGTTTCGCACAATGTCGACTCTTTATCTTTTATTGAAAGTCCCTCATCATCATTATCATCATCATCATCCGTCTGATTTTGTGATGTTGTTACTTGTTTTTGAGTTTGCTTCTGTTCTTGTATCAAATTTGTTGTAGAATCGCTTTCTGATGATTTTCTTATTCCTTTGTCCACATTCTTATCATCGATAGAACCATTACTGTTATTTTTTCTCGTTCTATTATTTCTTTCATGTTCTATTCCTTTTTTAGTGATCTGACTTTCAACATCATTATCATTTCCACTAGGACCAATACAACATTCATTATCGTACTCTTTCCTATTACGTTTATTTATAATATCATCATACAATGAATAACAAAATGCTAAAAATAAAAGATTTAATTAGAAATTTTTTTAATTGATTTTTCATGAACCTCACCTAACATGACAGGATGTGTATGAGTTACTTCCATATATAAATATGACACATAAGAAGAAAATCCAATATCTAATAAGAAAATATTGAATATTTATATCATGTTTCTAGGAGACACATCGGACACATGTCTATATCATAGTGATAATTAAGATTTTGATTTCCAATAGTGCAAATTAAAATACAAATGTCTGCATATGGGACATAACAAGTAGAAGAGCAGAAATTGGAACTAATGTTTACTTAGAATTTTATAAAATTAAAATTACCAAATTTTTCGAGTGGTCGACCAAGAAAACTACAATCTAAACGTGCCATATAGAGAATATTCAAACATATTGATTTAATTAATCGAATAATACACGAGGCAATTCCAAGAAAGCAATCTAAATAGGATACAATTCATATAGATATATTTATAAATGACAGAAGTATATTGTTCTTCATTAGTAGGATAAAAAAATCTTTAAAAAGGTTCAATAAATGTTTCAGATATGAATTTTCGAAGACTTAAATTTCCATCTGTTTATTTTGCACTTACCAGCAAAAAAATTAAAATAAACAAAAATGGCGTATGTTTTACGATTTTTTAAATTTAATTTTTCACCAAGATCTTGAATAAATATAAATTTTCCAACTGATGATACCATGACTAATTTCATTAAATAAACGACTAATATTGGTACAATAATGGTCATCAACAGTTCTATGTGTCGTATTCGAGCACGAATTAGGCGTAACATACCCAATACAAAGAATAGTACATGAAAACAAATAATATAACCCCATGCCATATAGCCTACTAAAAAACCACTATAATGTACAGACTTCGATGCCACAGAATTGTTTTTCATTCCTTTTGGTAATGGAATATCGATGGATGGAATACCTAAAAACAATTCGAAAACTAACGATCATATTAAGGCCCTCCCCGTCAAAAAAAGGCAATTTTTGTCTAAAATATTGATTTTGAGATTTATACATGTTTGGATAGCTCTAAGTGCCTACTTTCCAATTCACCATGACTTCTTGGTTTCAAGATGGGTTTTAAGAGTTTTACAGAGGTTTTCCTGAAACACTCAAAATGAGAAAAATAACTAGCATGTGCCTGATAACCTATAACGAACTATTATTAGTTTTTTCCTATAACGCGATATGCAGAAAAAAATCTTGAATTTTAAAGTTAAAACTTGTTTTGTATTTTTCTCAAAATGCGTTTTTTCATTTTTACGTGTTCGTGCGTCTCAGATTTTTCCAGCATTTCAAATGAGAAAGCTTGGAATGGTTTTAAAATGAAGCGCAGACTCAGCGCTACAAGTTAACAGAGTGGATATTATTTTTTTAGTTTGATTTTTGAGCAAAATACAGTTTTCTGAAAATTTAGCTCTATTTTTTCCAACTTTTAAAAAAAACTTTTAAAAATCAACACAGAAAATTTAAAAATCCGGCTGTTAAGTTGTAGTGCTGAGCCTTGGCTACATTTTGACACCAGTCCGAAGTCTGTATCATTAGAACTGCAGAAGAAACCTGGGACGCACGGACGTCTACGTTTTGACCATAAATGTTAAGATAACTCTTGAAAAACTCAATATTTCGAACTCAAACTTTTTACTGTCAACTGTCTATGGTCAGATACACATTCTGTGAAAATTTCATCAAGCTCGAATGTTTTGTGTCAAAAATAGGTTTTTGACAGGGGGTAGGAGCTTTAGATTAGTGCTGGCAATCTTCTTACCTTGAAACAATTCTTTTTTATGTTTTTTATAATTTTGCATTCCAATGAATAATTGTCCTAGATAGACTATACCTGTACAAATTGCACTAAGTATAATTTCAAGCTTAAATGACCAATTAGTAAATTCATAATCTAATAATTGTTCAAGATAAGATCTTAGAAATGTTGTATGACCAAATGTACGTGATAAATATAAAAATACAAGTGTACATGTCAAATAATATAAGAATACAATTGCGACTGTATATGTACATAGAGTCATTGTTGTAAAACGAAAATCATTATCCCAAACATAAATTTTATTGAATATTTTTTTGATTCTTGATTTTTTTTTAGACGAACATAATTCTTGTTCTTCATCACTTGTGTTTACGGTATTATTAACAGAATTAATATTCTTATTCATAGAAACTGTACGACGAAATAATTTCATAACATAATATTTTGAAAAATTATATTCATCATATTCTATAATAGGTGATATCCAGATACTTTTCTTAGATTTTAATTGTTTATAACATGAATCATACCATAATCGTACGGTTAATTCAGATGCAATATAAGATAAACAAACAAAATGTGGAGTATTTTTAACTAAACCATAAATTATGAACCATGAACCCCATTCAAGACGTAATTTTGATTCTTCAATGGCTGAAAATCGTTTTGATAATGGTAAAAAACCCATACATGAACCTTCACGATAAATTGTAAATGTCAAATCTGGAAGAATATATAACCATGACATAAAACGACAAAAAATATTTCGTAATTGTAATGATGCCAATACTGGATAATAACGCATTCCAACTAATAATACAACAGCTATACGTTCAAGTAATTCGAATAATACACCTTGTTTTGATGGTTCGGTTGTAGAAAACAATACCTCTTCAAATATTTTTAGTACTTCAAATGCTAATATTCCAAAGACAGTAGCTGTCGTAAAACGATTGGCAGTACGAAATGGTTCAATTGGTGGTATTATACCTAAAATATTGTAATAAAAATAAAAGTTATAAACTTTTTTAAAATAGATATTTTAGATTACTTACCAGGTCGTCCATCACAGTGTTTCAAACATTTTTTATCACTTTTAATAAACCAAGAAAATAAAAGAATCAAAGCTAATGAAATTGGAAACATAAATAAATTTCCTATTCGATAATCAGATATTTTTTCACATCGTGTTACTAAAATATAAAAAATAGTAAAATTAAACAAGAAAACCATTTTAAATAGTTTTAGAATTTTGAAAATTTAATAACTTAATTATATACTTTAATTAAACAAAATAATGTTTAAAATTTGTTTTCTCTTACCTAGTCGAACTGTATCATTGACAATATTTTCTATTCTTTTTTCATCGATGATACCAAACTGAAAACTTGTAAAATGTACAACAGTTGTAATAACTAATAATAATAATAAAAAAAACAATAATAAACCGGCAACCAGAGATAGTCGAACTAAATCTCTGTTTATTGGATTTAGAAGTGGTGGCGGCTTTTGTAAAAGGCTAAAATGCAAAAAAAATACAAAAAATAGTAGAGTGTTTCGTTGACTTGTATTTTGAATTATACTCAGTTCTGATAAATAGTTCATTCTATCAGTAAGCATACTTGTTGATGGTAGTTATTTGAATACTACAGTGAGAATTGATAAAAAATTCTCTTATATGTATAAAACACAGTAATATGTTAAATTCGACCGTGATAAGGACATACTAAACTAAAATTTATGTTTTTTTAACTTGATAGTGATGGTTTGATGTATGCACGTTTTCAACGAAAGATCATCTACACAAATGGTTGTTAATTAATTATAGCTTTTTGTATGTGTGAGCGAACAACAAAAAAGAGGTGATCATCATTAGAATATGGAAAAATTCAAAAAATGTTGAAAATAGAACTATAATAATTAATTTTAGTACGAGAAATTAATTTTAATCAGTAAACTATAAGATCAACTAGATGTATATACTCAATATATGAGACATCTGTCAATGATTCTATTAAACGTAAGAAATACAAAATTAAAGTATTTTAAATTAAGATTTGTAAACGAAGTTGGATCAAATATGTGAGTATTCTCTAACATGAAGTTTTTGGATTCTGGAACATTTTCTGAATAATATAATTTACCTATAATACTGTAGTTGATGAGCATTATTCATAACATTTCTACATTAAAAAAGAGAGAAAAGAATGATTATACGTAGCAGTTCATTGTACTTTTTTTAAATTATTACTGTGAACTTTGTTCCAATAGTCTATTGTTCCATTCATCATCGTTATTATTATGAGTTTGATCGAGTTCTGAGTTTTCTTTTTGTTTGTGTGTTGCAGGTTTCATTTTTCTAAATATCAACTAACATAGAGTTTTAGTGTTAGATGAGTAGATAAAGGATACTCACTTTAAAGAATGTTTAGCTATATAACCTAAGAAACTACAAACAGGCTTTAATGTTAACACATACATAACAATAATTATAATAAAACCAATAATGATTTGTTTTCCTTGTTTTGAAACTAAAATAATGAATAATTGTTATCTCGTATTTAATCTAGGACAGTTTACTTACTTCGTTCACAGAGCAAACCACCATATAGAAATGAACATGAACATTTGAAACCAGCCAGTGTATTCACACAATGTCCATGTTGTCCACAAACAACATTAGCAAAACAAAAATCTAGCACTAAAAAGATGATACATTTGAAAAGTATAGAAATTTATTTTTGTTTTATCTTACCATATTCACAAACGTGATTATATGATACTTTTGCGTCATTATCACTCAGTGAACAAACTATTTTATCTGATATTAAATACGTTGTTAAAACATAAGATGATGAATCATTTTTATTTCCACTCCATATCAATTGATCACAAATATCTTTAATTTCATCTAATTTTTCGAATTCTTCATTCGACGCTAAATCATCGTCTTCATATTCATCTTCTACTTCTGTAGAAGGTGAGATGTGAGACGTCATTGTAACCAGCATTCCATCAGAATTTGTTTGTTGCTGATCTTGATAGTCATGTTCAATATACTGGATATTATCGTGCTGTTCGTCATAAGATAGTTGGTTTAAATCTGCTTCCCGTTGTTCATAGGATTGTTTTATTTTTTTTGTTCGTCTTTGAATACGTAAACCAGCATCGCGTAATTCGTCTAAAACTCTTTTTTTAAAACGATTATATTGATTTATAGCTTCTTGAAATTTTTTTTTTGTACTATTCCATTTTCCTTCATCTCTCATTAATAAATCGGCTATTTTGTTTTCTAAAATGAGAACAGAATACTTGAGAACGACTAATTTTTTGTTCTACATTGAGGAGAAAGATCATGCAGTTAGATATTACACATACTCATTTTTCTTACCTTTTATAAGTTGTGGACTGATGCCAACGAGTAATGCTGATAAATTGTATTTTGTCAGTATGTGTGCAGCATAAAACAATTCCATAGTTGTACGTATTTTCATAAGTGTTGAATGAGTGGAATACAATGAATTGCACGTATAATTGACTTCGTCTGGTGTCGATGTCAAGTTTGACCGATAATAGCAGGAACCTCCCAGTCGACGCCATCCTTTTGGACATCGAAAACGGCTCACTAAAAAATATAAAACTATTTACTAAACTTAGCCAACATTCTAAAAAGAAGATAAAACTAACTTCACAACTTTTGAAAAATTGGGTCCCATTGTATTGAGAAACGTTAAAAATCAGCAAGGATTCAATTATTTGAATTCTACCACTCTTCTATATTAGACTCACTATATAAGAGTTATTTCCTTTATCAATTGCGGTCGAACGCAAATTTTATGTTACAACTGATTTAAACTAAGATCACAAGTTAAATACACAAAGTATACCTGTCTAATAAGAAGTATTCTTCTACACAAACTACACAGACTGGGTGGCTTTAAAAAAGCTTTCACTGCAGCATTGTTTTTTTTAATGAAAGTATCGGAACTTTCATTAAAACATTCTTAGCAGGGGTTTCATTAAAATGATATCGATGGCACAAAAATTTCTTTAAAATTTTTTTATGGCATAAGAATTTATCTAATATATATATGTCAGCGTCCAAACTCAGATTCCGTTCAATCTAGAATTGATCTAGGCCAAAGTCGAATCCGAGATTCGACTCGACAAATCTTGAATTTTGATCGTACCACGCAGAAAACTGCAAATTTTAAGTAAGGTTTAGTAGGAATTTTCCTTAAAGTGTGTTCTAGATATCCGCTGGTTCGTGCTGATTGGAAAACAGTGCTTGCCGACTCACTAATCGACAGATTCGTTCTCTTATATGTGGAAGATTGAAATTGTGTACTGGTTCAGTTCAGGAAGACGAGGACAAGGACTAGTGGTAACAGTGGGCCACCAAGCACTGTTTCCAAATCAGCACGAACCAGCGGATATCTAGAACACACTTTAAGGAAAATTCCTACTAAACCTTACTTAAAATTTGCAGTTTTCTGTGTGGTACTATCAAAATTCAAGATTGGACGAGTCCAATCTCGGATTCGACTTTGGCCTAGGCCAATCCGAGATTGGACGGAATATGAGTTTGGATGCTGACATATATCGCTTAGCAAAAGATACCTGTTTCACTTCATACATTTTATTTTCTGCTTAAATATACTTATTTTCAGGTCTTTAACTTATATTCTGTTCACGGAAGTTTCATTAAAATGCCTCCTGCAAAGTGACTGTGACCTGGAGTTTCATAAAAAATTTTTGATCGCACAATAATTTCATTAAAAATTTTAAGGAAAATTCAGGGTCATCGAACACACCGGAAGGTTCATTAAAAATCTTAATGAATCTCCTTTTAATGGAAGCTTTTTTAATGAAACATCGATATCCCAACTACACGAGCGTTTGTTTTTTCTTCACACAAACTATTGAAACATTTGTAGGAAAAAGACATTCATACAGGGTACTTTGAATTTTAGATCTGGCTTAAAAACTATTATCAAAAAATTTCAGATAAAAAAAGACTTTTTTTTAGCTATCGATTTATTCCTATCCTAAATAGCAAGTTTTTTCACCCAAGAACACCATGAAAATAAGACTTTAAATTTCAGAACACACTTTTTATTATTGTTAAGCACTTTAATCATTAACTTTAAGTAAAGTAAGCAGTTATATAACGAGCTCTTTCTATTGAACATTAAAACACTTGCTAATCGTTTTATTCTTCATTCTCCACATTACACGTAACATTTTGATTTAAAGAAGAAAGTATACACATACAAATTTATGTTCAATCAAAAGGTGAAAATGTATTCCCTTTATATCTATTAGCTTCGTACAATCTTTATATCTTATGAATATACCATTGAACCAAAGCACATTACACACAAATCATTTGATGCTCAGACAAGAAACAGGGGGAATAGTATGAGAGTGGCAAGGAAATATTATTCTAATAGAAGAATTTTTATTGTTGATAATAAATTTTACGAATGAATCCTAAGGTTATATATTATTTAAAATAAAGTCAAATGACTACATTTCGTGCTTGAATTTCTATTATTAAACTATGTTTAAAGAAAATTTCTAATAAAAAACAAATTCTAATAAGAAATAGCCTATTAAAAAAGTTTTATAAATTGCGTATGAAAATGAATGTTTGGTAGAAAATGAAGGGTTTCTCTGTCTATATTCTATTTTCGATATTATTATTTTCAATAGTGTCATTATGCCTAAAGTAAATAAAATGTCGTTAAATTACAAACTCAATTTCGTCAAATGTTTTTGTATTATTACACCTTTATATTACACTGCTTCTTTAGCTGTTTTGTCGTCAAAAATAACAAACGTTCGATAATTTGTAGTATCAATGCTACCGTGAATAAAATTCGATAACAAAGATTTGTTCTTTTTATAGTTTTCAGCGAAAGAATAGTTAGAACTGCACAAAATGTAAAACTGTAGCCAAAGTTTACTTTAAAAAATATTAATTTTTTAAACGACGGAGAGTACACAACTCGGTGGCATTTCATTCAATTCAGAAAAAGTTGACTCTACTATTTTAGATGTGGTGTAGTTCTAGGCGTTCTTCCATTGAAAAACTATAAAAAGAACAATATGTCAAAATTTTGAGCGGAATTTTGTTCGAGGAGCAGAGTTAATAAATCGCTATTACCAACATCCCATATCGTAATTTTGTAAAATAATCGGTGACTATTCCGTTTAGAAAAACATTGATAAAACTAGTTAAGCTAATAATTAAACTATAACTAACATAGTAGGTTCTCCACAGAAATATTCATCGTATTAAATCTCAGACAGAAACGTTAATTAAATTGAGGTAATTGATAAATTTAAGCAAAAATAGTTCATTTTACACACTAAACTTACCAGCCTCCTTTACCTTGGTTATTATCGATGGAAATTTATCCCACAATGATGTTATATCATTAAGATTCAAATCTTGTAAACTGAACGCACATTTTGTATTTTCTATGATATCACATGTAAAAAATAGTAAAAAAAGAACCATTGATGACATCGTTGGTAATAATGATGATGACGACGTGTCAGATTGAGATGAAAGAACAAAATAAAATAAAAAAATAAAATAGTTGTCGCACGCCAGAGAGAAAGAGAAAAGATGGAGCTTGGAAATTTTTTAGTAAAACACAGATAAATAACACTCCAAAACAGAGTTTTAGGTATCGTCGGTGTATGTTTATTATCCGTTTGTTGACTGGATCAATAGATATTATGCTATTTATTGAACAGTAATGTGATACTTATAGGTTGCTTTTTTTCCTCTTGATACTTCCACATCTTTTTCTTTTGTGTAGAAAGAATACCGTGAAAGAAAAAAGTTGTACAAAGAAGTCTTTTTCCGATTAAAATAACTCCCAAAATAGAGAAAGACGTGAGCACATGCAAAAGAAAGAATAAAGCAGAGAAAGGAAGAATAACTCACTGCTGAACACGCGTTCTTGTTCTTTCTCAAAAAAAAACAAATGACTTGTTGCCATTTCTATCATAAAACTGACTTTTTCTCCACTCGAGTGTGTGTACCACGAGACATTAACTTTTAATGATGGGTGTAAAATAACAATCAATATACCATAGGCTTGAAATGCATATACCGTGTGATTAGTATTAAGTAGTGAATAATTTATAATAAAGGAAAGATTTATAAACTGATTTAAATCGAATTAGTAATAAGAACTTAAGAATTGCATGAATCAATATATGTGCAATATATCTTATGAAAGAATAGATTAACATTAACAAATTTTATTAGTTATAGTTTAGGCAGAAATTTCAAAATTGTATTTATTGAAATATACGATGTTAACAGAATTTAAATCGATTGATATTGATATGTTGTCCAATAATATTGTCTTCGTCTGCGAATGTAGAACGAACTTATCGAAATACAAAAAACAAATGCAACTATTCCAATTGCTATACCAGCAATAGCACCCGTAGTAAATGTATCAGGATAGATTGGTTTTATTGTAGCACTTCTTGAAGTTGAGTTAAATTTTGATATTGTTGCTGTTGATGTTGTTGATGTTGTTACTGGTGATGTATTTGAAGCTGTTAAACTTCTGTCTGCGGTAGTATTAATAGCATCTGCTTTAAGCATAAATCGTGATAGTAAGATAATAGCTTGTTCGTTGATACCATCACTATTATCTCGAACTCTCATTTCGTACAATTTGCTTGACATACTAACGCATGAACCCATTACTAAAGTATAAATTAGTGTAAGCCTATACTATGCTGTTAATCATGATTAAAATTAATCATTAGCTAATCACGATCAACCTGATGTGGCCGTAATTTATATAGTAATTAACTCGCTAATAATACTTAATATTAATCATGATTAACACCGTAGTATGATTCTGGTGTTAGTAATGAGAATGATTAAAGACAAACATAAAAAAAAGAGTAAAAACTACTGCTTTATGCATTACTTCAGTGCCTTTGCGCACATTTGAGCCAACTTCTGGATTTAAACTATAAAAAGCATTATCAAAGGTGTTTGCGTCTATTGAATTGCAGCTTACACAATACTATTTTGCATAAAACTAAGGAACTTACAATAAACTGATATCAAAATAGCCAAAGGATAACTTCGATAAACTGCCGTCATTTGAAGTTCTAAACTGATTTTTAAACTGATTCTTCCTAATATTTGATTCGCTCCTTCGTAATTTTATATTTATTTTCGGTTACTTTTGACTCATGGGCATTGCCTTTGTGCAAACATCGACGAATGTTATCTTATGCACTTGAGAACTTATTCATTAACTCACTAAAACTTCTTCAATGCTATTTATCTTTTAATTCGTCTCATCCATCGTAATGAACAGCATTGCATTACTCAATATAGATTTATCGCACTTTCTTTGTGATGCTCAATCAAAAGTAAAAACTCACTTTTACTAAGTAGCTCTCAGAACCAAAACACGGACTGCTGATCGAGCATTCGAAAAAACTCTCCATTGATCCATTGTCAAGCTGATGAGCTAGAGATAGGAAAACTAAGTCTGCAGCGCCTAAATGTAAATGTGGGAATGGAAAGAAGAATATTGAACATTACTTTCTGCAGTGCAGTCTCTACCACAATGAGAGACAAACTCTGAAACACAAACTATATTTTCTAACCACGACTATAGTCGACATACTATTGTTGAATGATCTGAATCTAGATGATGATTCACTTGCTGTTGTTTTAAAAGTAGCTGTATTTTACGTTAAACAGACTAACAGATTTGATGATTAGCTAGTAGAACGTTAATAATATTTAAATTAGTCCACGCCATGTCTCTCCGTCTAGTCTGTGTTATTTTCAATTTTCCTTGACGTTTTTAAACATTTTTTTAATATTATTTCAACTGTTCATCTTCCACCTATTACACCTTATCACTTAAATGTAGCCTATCTTATGCATGGCCTAAAATGGTTCGCCGCTGGCCTTATTATTAGAAACAATAAAGATATAAACCAAGTCTGCAGTTGGATGTCGGATTTTTTTTTTCTAGGTCGCGGGCATATGTTGGGTATTTCGAGATATCAGCCAAGATAAAACGCTGTACGACACGATAATCTTTTGTAAGCAAAACCATAAAATTCTTTTTCGTAAAGAAATAATAATCGTAAATGTATCAGGTAGTCGTATTCTTTCGTTTCAAAATTCATGTGCCGTTGAAGTGAATACTAGAAACGCGTATTTTATAAAACCCTGAGAAAGAAATTAGAAAGAAAGGAAAGGTTTACAAAATGGCTCTTCGAAAAAATGAATCGACTGATGTGTATCCCTATCCTATTCGAGTACTTTACTTTTTTTCGAATTTTCACGTTGAAAAATCATCAAGATTTTCACCCAAAACTGAAATCAGCTAAAAATTTCGAAATACAGATCAGTCGACTGAGTTTTTGATCCCGATTCTAAATATGATCTTTTTATTATATAGAAGTTGAGTTCTGATCGGGAAAATTGAAAACTATGGACAGAACTCCGACTTTTTCGCTACTGATTTAGAAAAAACGAATTTTCTCAGCAACCAAACAAAATTTGAAAAAAAGCGAGTTATACTTTTGAAGCCGACACTTCAGCAAATATAATGGGATGTAAATGATAGTTCGAACCCTTAAGAAAAGAATGGAAATGAACACTTATATGATTCTTAGATAAATTAAATATATTTGATTTAATAAAATCGTTTTCTCCTAGTTTATTTTACAGACAGTGTTACATAAGTGCATTTGCTATTTATTAGCTAATGCTCCATTGCTTCATTCCAAGAGATTACGTACTAATTTTTATAAATTAAGTTGTGAAAAATAATTATAAAACATGTGTAGCTTTTTTGCTACTATGGGACTCAAAGGGTTAAAAAATTCTTTGAATTTAGCTGTCTGTCATTTGGTAAAGCTCCCTTTCACTTTGCAAAATGACTTCAAAATTCGTGTAAGCTTGAAAGAGTAGGTTCACATCAGGTATACAATCCAAAGCTACGGAAGCAGGTCAGTTAACAACGATTAATTTTATTATTTGGTTTCACGAATTTTTATAAGAACCTTTTAGAGTATGAAGGGCTTAACTCTAGATCTTAACTCTAAATGCAGGTAATATTCAGATTAACCTTGTTCAACACCTTCTAAGAAGACGTTTCAAGAGCTAATTTATCACAAGAAGCAAAATACTTTGTTGGTTCATTTACTGTTTGGGAAAAAAAGATTCTATGGTATTCAACTGAATTTTAAGTTCAAAAGCGTCGAACATGGACTGGATCCGCGGTGGACTTTGACATGAGGATCGTGGATATAGAATCAGCTTGAACACAAACAAATAAAAAAACTTTAAATTCGTCTCCTAATTGAAAAGGTCTCATTTTATCGAAAAGATACCAATAAAGATCTTGAGTCTTACCAGTCAAGTATACAGCCACAAACATGAAACAGAAAAAGGATGAGAAACAGGTGGCACCACATTTCATCGGGTAGTTTTTATAAACAATTTCAAAATGGATACATCGCCATAATAACAAACAAGAAAATGGTTGACTAGTAGAATATCATTATTATTTATTTATAAGGCATCTTTGTTGCTTGTACAAACAATTTTTCACATCGGATTCGGGAGAAAATGATTATAATACAGTTCCTTTTGAACTTTCTCTCACACCTCTTCAATAAGTGTCCACTTGAAAATGAACACTCTTTTTCTTCGGATTTCTACTGTTCTATGTCGTTATTGTTGCCTACAAAATTCAATAGGATTGTGGGCACTTTGACATTGATTAAATATCCAAATCTAAAAAGGATTTTTGAATCTTTTCGTTCCAGATGGAGCAATCGAATAATCAAATAATACGACGATATACTAGTGAAGAAGATGTTTTCAAGGACAAATATCCTGTGAGAGATGAACGAATTTATCACGTTGATATAAATGGCTTGAGAGTACCGCAAAATGTTCGTCATCGTTTTCGATCAAAAATTACTGATCAATTGTTATGTGATAACTGCCAAGTCAATGACGCATTAAAATACATCGATATACAATATGTTCCGAATCGTAGTCGATTGTCAAATCACACTGAACAAATAAGACCCATGACATCGACAGGTCTGACATCAACAAGTTTATTATCTTTAAATGATCCTCACCAAAGCGAAGATTATTATAATATTAGCAATGATTTAAGAAATAGTGTGTGTCATGGATTTCCAGTAAAACGTTCAAGCCATTCAAAAAATGTCCATAATGCACAACTAGTTCAAGAACACTTTAGTTCCACAAAAAATTTCAATTCAGCATTTCGACGAAAGAAAGATTGGCTAGGTACTTATTACCACTAATAACGTTATGCAATATCACTGATGTTTTCATTCTATCTTTTATATAGGAAAATGGACGGAATCAAACATCATTCGGGAACGTCTTTTAAAGAGCTTGTTTGAGGCGCAAAAAAAACCGGCTGCAGGAGCCACCGCATGATATAAACTTCACCGTAATAATATTTCATAAAGAAACATTTTTATAAGTTTGTATTATTATCACTTTTTAAACTTTTTGTATTTTGCACTAAACTACTACCTCCGATTGAAACGGAAGTAAGTAATAACAGATCATATATTACCGCAGTCGGAATTTTATCATCAATCAACATTAAAAGTCAGTTACTTGTGTTAATAGTAATATGATCTTTTACAGTTACTAAGCAGGAGATTTACACTTGAATAATTTCGATTTCATTTCAACAAGTTTACTCTTCATCAAAACGGATGACTAATACTCTGTCTTCAAAATCAGTGAACTATTGGTTGAAAATAGATGGATTTAGTAATCTCCATTGAAAACAACGATGTGTCTCGATTTTTGTCAAAGGAAGTTAAAATCTCGAGGATAATTAGCGAGAGATGAGTCAGTTTTTATATCATTTAACCCTTCACATTTTTAAGAG